AGGGAAGGCAGCTAGCTAGTTATCATCACCCACTGCCAACTCTTGAACTACTTTTTTAACAACGAATAGCGGGATTGACCGTCACATTACAGCGCCTCCACGGCTGAAAGGACAAACATGTTTGGTGAGAAAGGGATTCGAACCCGCGACCTTCAGCTTGCGAGTCAAGAGCTCCTAACCACCTGGCCATGCCTGGCCAAGTTCTTAATATCAGAGGCTGCTATACTATCAGAACTGAAGAGATAAGGCAAAGCCTGTAATTAAAGACAGCTATTGTGTTAAAATATGCAAAGGAGCTCGTTTTACCTGTCATCATCGAGAATGTTACTTGTTTTAGCAATCATATCATTTCCATTCACTTTAGTGGTTACTCGTCGTGGATAAATAAATCCTCCATCTTCGCTCATGTAGCCACTGGATAAATCCTCTACTCTATACACAGCACTAGGTTGTAGTATTTCTCCGTCACTCAGATAACCTGATGCAATATCCATGGAAACATAGTCGACCTTGCCTAGAAATTTCTTTAAAGGACCATTCAAATTACTGGACGAGTTGTCTGTCGTTGGCATTGGGTGCGACACTTTAGCTCTGTACATGGGGTTGGAGTTGGAAGACATAGAATTTAGGCCACGAATATAACCATGTGACAAAGCACGTGTGAGGGGGGGCATTGGTTTTATGTTACCCATTACGTCTTCTGATTCTTCTATTACTGTCATACCCTTGGATAAAAGGCCAGTATTTCGTGTGTCATATAATCTACATTTCTTGACAACAAGATTAGTGCCTTCATTTTGTGGTGAAGGTGAATCTTTCGGATCGGCAACATGGAAGAGTTCTTCTGATGCTTTCATTTGCCGAGATCTGGAAGTTTGGGAGTAACGGCCTTCACATTCCTGCATTTTTGCGTTCCTATCTGTTATAACATAATTTTCATTTTTCTTGCTTTCAGTATTATACGATACTGTATACTGTTTTCCAGAACTGATTTTGTCAAATACTCTGACGTCACTAATCATAATAGGTGATACTTTGGCAACAGTAATTCCACCATGCGACCCATCTGCACATTGTTCAGGCACAGTACCACCTACTTTGTTATTAGATCTTAGATCACTTTTTTGACGTGTTTCTAAGTCATTCTTTCTTTGCCGAGAAGTTTTAATCTGTGTATTTCTGGTCTTTTCATCATCTGAGAAATCTGAATTCATTTTGGTAGAGCCTGATGCATTAAAAGTATCTCGATCTTCAGGGTTGTGCTCCAGTTCGTCCTTGCTCCTAGAGGGCGTATTATTACACTCCTGGACATTCTCTGGGACATATTTAGTCATTCCCTTCACAGCCGCAGTGGGCTTGGTAATGCTACTGTTTTCACCCTGATTTGACAATAGGCAACTCGAATTTGGACAAGAGGTTTCGGAAACTCTAGCAGACTTTTTCTTGGTGGTTTTGGTAGAAATGTCTGAGTTGGGAGTTTGAAGGACTCTTTCTGAGGTAGGAAGAAGAGAAAATACTTTTGACTGGTTAATCACATTCTGTTCACCTTCATGATATTGGTCTTCTTTCGAATTTTTACTTTCTTTCGGTTTAGTTTCAGGTGTATTTCGCGTTTTGTTACTACTTTCTACAATTTTGGTGTTCATATTTGATGATCCACAAACGTTGCCTTCATTTTTCTTTTCAATACATGCCAAACAATCCTTCTGCGAACACTCTTTTAGAGTGGATTGTGCATTGTCTTCCTGCGTTCCACAGCTACCATTTTCAAATTTGGCATTTGTTGTTTGCGTGAGTTGGTATTTTTCTGGACTAAACTCGACTCTGTCTGACGTTTTATCTATGATTGCACCGAATTCTGTATATCCCGTTATGTTTTTCTGCGTGGTGGACGGCTTACATAGGTTTTTGTATGCAATAGATTCCTTTTGCACAGGTTTATATACTTTATTGATGGGTTCAGAATTGATTTTTTGAGTACTAATTTCCTTATTCTCCAATTTTTTTTTATGTACAGATCGCTCTGATTTTTCCTTCAGTGGCGTTGCACAGTCAGAAAGGTTTATTGGGGTTGACTTCAAAGACTCTAGTTTAGTGGTCAAATCTTCCTTGCCTAGAAAAGTAAAGAAATATATTATTTCTTTATGTCATTTTGATATCTACGATTTATTTATTCCATTCATTTCATAAACTCCCATGTTCCTAAAAATTCAATTTAAACTGACCTGACCAAACACACACACACACACAAAATAAGAATTAAAATTTACATGCTTTCTTCACAATACAAATATGATCTATCTGGGTTTACAAGTACAAAATTGATTCTTCGTAGAACAAAAATGATTATTTGTAAGGTCCAAGCAATTTAGAAAAATAAGTAAGTTAATTTTTTATTTGCCCATTTTACTAGCATAATGATACAAGTGGATGAACAATTAAAGTGTTGTTATAAGTCCAGTAAGATTGCCAATGATGTGCATCAAGAACTGTAAATTTTTTTGCGATACCCGTTTAAAGTTAGATATCGTTATATGTGATGTATTTTATATAAAGTAGACGGTTATATTTGTTACGAATTTCATGCAAAATTACTTGGGGGCTATCTATGCTAACCGTCTCTAATTTAGCGATGATAGACTAGGGGGAAGATAACTATTCAAAACCACCCACCATCAAATTTTGGGCTATCAACGAATAGTGGGATTGACATTCACACTATAATGCTCTAAGACTATGCCAGGCCAGACAGTTAGGACAAGAGAAGTTCATTAGGTTAACTAAAAATAAACGAAATTCTATGAAATATAATCAATCTCTGTCTTAAACATAAAGAAAAAACCTCTTAACAGTTATGCCTTGTAGGTGCGATTGTTTTACAATACAGTTCTCTTTCTAAAGAAATACGAAAACTTGCTTTATTCTGGTGCTACGATAATCCTTAGTTTTTAGCTTTTTTACTTTACAAAAATCAAGGCTGTGTTTAAACTTGTAAACTTTATCTAACTTTATCAAAAAATAAAACTAACACATTTTAACTCTCACAAAATTACTCTTTATCAGCTAATTATATATGAATAAAAAGCACTTTATAAAAACGATGTTCCTAACCTCCAAAAAACTTTTGAAGCTACCCTCCACCGATGGCTATTATTAGGTACGTTTGCTTGACACAACAATTTCCTTTCTAACGTGCTTCTGGGAAGAACGACAAAGCCAATATTGACAAATGTTCACGTTCTTCCATTATACGTAAGCGTAGGCTCCAATACAAAAGGTTGCATGTGTTTGTTATATAGCAAAGCCACATTGGGCTATCTGCTGTGTCTACCGCGGAGAATCGAACACTTGATATTAGCGTTGCAAGTTAGTAGACTTGCTGCTGTCCCGCAGGGGTACAAACAAAAAGCACAAAAGTTCCATGGAGCCATACTGCTGGACTTGGCGGTTATGTGATCTAACGGGATTGCCATGATTCTAGTTTCTTCGGCTATTTTTTTTTAAATAAAAGCAACCTCTGACTTCGAGATGTGGCTGGAAGTTTGTTAGTAGTACCAGAAGATATGTCCAGCTTCGCGTAATCGTTTTTTTGGGGGGGTGGGGGTGGTTGGAGGTATCTTTCCTGTTGACAGCCGTCACTTGGCATTATTCCGGATTGGTTGAGGGTTCTGGTTTCTGAGCCAGTTTCTGGCCTAAATGTTCTTCTGTGCGAGTATTTTCGTTTCCAATGGAAACAGTGAATACTCCATTCTTTAAAACGTTTTGACCTTTGTTTCTACGCCAGTTAACAATCTTTATATACATATATTTCATTTTGGAAAGGCTTCTTGCAATTATCCAGCTCAAACTTTTTCGGTGGCTTTATTGCACTGTCGAATGGTATGGAACATAAGCGTTAACCATGTCGGTGGTGGCGTCACGTCTGACACCGGTGGCAACACACCACTGCATTAGAACATGCGGATCATATTTATAAACTGCAATTAATTCTATATATTGCCTTTGATTGGGAAGCATAACTCAAGACTCGGTGTTTTTGCATTTTAGTCTACACATAAGTCATCGCTCTATAAAATCGATAAAATTGTTATACCAAGAAACACTTTAAACGTGCTCGTTGATCAACAGCTTGAAGCATTTTTCTGACGTTCTTTATGCATTGATGCACTGCAAAAGTAAACTATGCTTTCTTTTTTTTAGTTTTTTGGAAAATATTTAATCGTTAAAGCTAGTAAGTTAGTCGACACATTTGACCAGAAAAGAGCTATTGACCATTGTATCTCTAGCACACAAAACGAAATATTTGTTTAAGAATAGTTAAATTCGTCTATTGCTTTCTCTTAAGTTTTCAAACGATAAAACAAAACTTACTGTACTCTGTTATTTTTGAGTTGTTATACTTTTTGTCTTTGATCGAGCTTCTGACAAATGTTTTCTTGGAAGACTTTTGAGCTACGACTTTTGGACCACTTGTTCCTGGAGAAGTTAGGCCTGTGGATACTTTTGGTTCTTCGGAGGTCAAGCCAGATTTAGATTCGCTACATATACTATTGGAGGAGTCACTCTTTTCACTTTTTGCTGAGCTAAAGCCACTACTGCTACTTGTCCTCTTTGAGAATACGCCACCTAGAAAAAATAAAAAATAAACTCCTTTTATATGGTTGAATTTGTTCATATCTTTAGAAAGACAGCAACAACACCTAACTACATTTATACCCTATATTTTACTTCAATTTAACACATGGTTAGGACGCTCGACTCGCAATCTACGGGTCGCGGGTTCGAATCCCCCTCCCACCAAACACTTTCAGCCGAGGGGGCTTTATAATGTGACGATCAATCCCACTATTCTTTGGTAAAAGAGTAGCCCAAGAGTTGGCGGTGGGTGGTGATGACTAACTGCCTTCCTTATAGTCTTACACTGCTAAATTAGGGACGGTTATCACAGATAGCCCTCGTGTAGCTTTGCGCGAAATTCAAAACAAATAAACATTTACCATAAACCATTTAACACAATCATATTTTTTGTTTCTAATTGGCGTAAAATAACAAATTTTGATAAATAATATTTTATTATGAATTTTAGAGTTTTCCTTTTTTTGATTACGATAAAAGAAAATTCAAACATACAAGAGTACGTGATTTATAACATTTTTACTTTATCCCAGTACTGTTCTTTACTGTCATCTCATTTTATTATCGCTTTTTGCTTTTCATTATGATAACTAAGCTTAGTACTAAAAGGGCCGGGAGTGGCCCAGTACTTAGCATGCCGGACTGTGGATTTCAGGTATGGTGGCTCGCGTCCTGATACTTTTATAAATGAAATCAAATCCTGTTCCACTATTCGAACAAGAGTTGGATGCAGATGGAGTTGACTAGTTGCCTTCCCTTTAGCCTATCACTTAAAAAGTAGGGATGGCTGTCGCAGATATTCCCCGTGAAGGTTTGAGCGAAATTCAATCTGAACTGGTAACAAAAACCTTATGTGACAGATTGTTTAGGCAGAGTATTCATGATGAGTATACTGGAATAGGCGGCAACTGCCTGTTGTAGAAAAAAAAAACACAAGTGTACGGACGACGTTTCGAAATTCGTTCTACTTTCGTCTTCAGGGCCTTATTTGTTTGTAATTAAACACAAAGCTACACAATGGACTATCTGTGCTCTGCCCACCACGGGTATCGAAACCCGGATTCTAGCGTTGTAAGTCCGCAGACATACCGCTGTGCCACTGGGGGGGCCTTCAGGGCCTTAAGACATAATACGTTAGAATCGTCATCCCCTACACTTTTGTTTTTTTTTCTACAACAGGCAGTTGCCACCTATTCCACTGTACTCAACAAAAACCTTATTTTGACGTCTTATGCTGTTTTTTTTCCCGGCATCAAATAACGAGAAGTCCATTTTAATTAAAACACGAATTTTTTATATTTTTAAATAAACACCTCTAACCTTTTGCTTTGCCTCCAGATTTTTCTTTGGAATTGAAAAATTTGAATTTATCAAACATGGAGATATTATTATTTGAAGCGTTCTTGTTCCCAGGAGATGTTGCAACGTCTGGAGGATTACGTAATGTAACACCACGACCGATTTTCAACGGTAGGTGAGGTATCGATGTAGTGGATGAAATTGAAGACGCTCTGTTAAAATAAGTTTCATTAACGTTCAGTAAATAATTACCCAATACAAATTTCAGTATTTATAATAAACGAGTACCCTAAAATCGTTTTAAAAATTGCTTGTGATTAGTGCCCTGAAATACAAATAACAACAATTAAGGACTTTAACGTAGTTTTCCTCAAAATTTCCTTTATTTTTAGGTAAAGGAAATAGGGTACTGTTCTAATTATGTTTTAACTCTTCTTTATTTTTAATCCGTGAGTTTTTTTCAATTATGAAACTAACTGGTGGTAAATACTAATGCTACGTGAGCTAAATTTTTCGTTTTGTTGGGTTTTGAAATACAAAAAAAAAAATGTTTATCATAAACAAGTTTTATCAAATTGTAGGACTTCTTACATTTCGTTCAGTGAACGAATAATACATGAAAAATATGCTGGCAATCTGTTTTTATTCTTTCATATACTATCCACGTGTCTTCTAAAACTTTCTCTGACACTATTTTTCTTAAAGATATATATAAACGTGTATACATGCTTGCATAAATTTTCAGTTTGAAAATATATGCAGCAACAAATGAAACTGTACGAGTTGTATTGGCTTTACCATATAATTACAAATGAAACCAAAACCTATACACGTTTATATTTCATGCTGGGTTTACCTCAACTTGAAAGAACAAGATGAAAAACGTTAAGTAAAAATGTTTTGAAGAAGCAGACTCCACCCTACAGCAAATTATAATAAGTGCTTTAAGCGTGTAAGATATCTTAACACCATCTTCTTTGAATAATATTGTTGTAAGCAACCGTACTTCAACTGGATTTTCAACACTCGAGAAGATTCGTTTTGTTTAACGATTGTTCACATTTCTTTATATATATAGAGTAAATTAAAAAAATACTTTAAATGGTTGATTTCTTTTGAAGTTTTTAACCTCACCTAGACTGATTCCTGCCTGTTTTGTTCCCGTCGGGGGTTGTAACACTACTTAGTGGCCGAGGTATAAACGTTCCACTCGAAGGATCACCAGAGGACGCCCTAAGAACGAGATTTCCAGATCCTAATATAAAATAAACAAAATATGCAGAATTAATGTTCGGAATGCCTGAATTAAGCTTTTAAAATAATAATTATTATAAGATATGTTTTATAACAAATCGTACATTTTATATAGCTGCTACTTTACACTGACGAACCAGTTGAGGAAGATATAAAACATCTATCGACCGGTGTTGTCACTCTGAACAGCGCTCCTAGAATGCTATTTCATGTTCAAAATTCACTAAACTTTTCAGATACTGTAACAAGTTAATCTTTTTATATCTACACTGTATATGTTAGTATGAATTCAAACAAAATTTAATTTTAGCTTACAGATTCTTCCCAGGAAGCCACTGAGAAGCTGTAGTCAGAAAACTCAGTGTTTGGTCGAAAATTATACATTATTTCAAACCGGGTAAAAAATTATATATTATCCCTGATTAGATAAAAAAAGCACAAATAACTGGAAGCATTAAAACGCAGAAAAAATCTAAAAACATATAAAACACCAAAGTAATTATAGTACTTTTAAAATGCAAAATTCAAGCATTAAGTATTAAATTACTTTTAAGATAGTGTCATAAAAAATATTGTCATTGACAAGGCTTTTTTGGATATTTTTCTTGGAACACTTCTGAAAAATGCCAAAAGTTCATGCTTTTCCTACCGACAAGTATCTAATGAATACACCGGCATATACTGCTATAAAAGGCGATGTTTTTGTCACAAAAAGCCTGTTTTCAGACATATATATATATATATATGTGTGTGTGTGTGTGCGTGCGTGCGTGCGTGCGTTCTTATTGTGAAGACGTAGACTTCACAATCGTTGTTTCAGAACACTTAATCTAAGACACGGTTAGAAGAAGCGGGAAAAATCAAAATCAAAACAAACAGAATTATATAAGACACACGTACACAATTTCTCATATTTCTACAATTTAAAGCTGTTGGCAAAAAACATCGCTATAATATTTATAAATATAATATGTTCGAGTTATCAAAGTTATCAGGTCACGCAGACATATATATATATAATGAAAACAAGTTTTATCAGAATAGATTAAATATTGTTTCCTTCGTTCTGTTTATTATTATTGTTATTCAGTATATGATTTTCGTGTTTTATTTCGTAGTTGAAGAGCATTTATGTTGGAATACTTTAAACGCCCATAACATGCCTCAGCTGATCATAAAAACCATACGTCACAGTCTATACGTGAGCCTATTGTTATTTGGTCTAATTGGTATCAATACGGTCACTGGCCTACAATCCATTGTCTGGCACCACTTCTTATAATCATTAGTATTGTCTCTATGATGTATTAGGCCTAACTTCTTGTTTAGAAAATTCTAGATTAGTAATTTACAGGCAAACAACAAAGTTTCTACTAAAAATAACTTAAAATTAGATATTCGTCGTTCTTTAAAATTGCATATATGAAATGCACATCCCATAAGAGGGATCAACACATAGTACAGATTGGTGGTACGGATGACTGCACTTATAATGGTATAAAACAAGAACAAAGATCAGAAGAGGTGAAACAGCTTATCTTGCACTCTATACATCAAAGTAGTTAACATCATTGTTAAATATACCGAAAAGGAAAGGTAGTTCTAGAATTATGCAAGGAATGTTTACATTTTAATGTACGACATACCCAACTTCAGATCTAGAAACACAAGTGTTAGATCAGCACAGAAAGATCCTAAGTTCATTACAGTTTCAGCAGTTAAGTGTAAAATATCATGAAACTAATCATTGCACATCAAGAAACGTAACTTATTTCTTAGAGGAAATGTGTTGTATAATTGTCATTTTAAGAGATATGTGTAAGTATTCAAAGGAAAATTAATCCTTCACATCAAATTCATTAAGTTTTTATACCTTGAATCAAGTCATAGTTCCTGCCATCATAAATGTAAACGAATCTTTGTTCAATTAACTTTACACATTTTTCATAAAGTCGTAGAGTTTTAAATGAAAAATATAACAGATGTTTGTTTTAGCGTAAACCTGCGTAATGGACTACCTGTGTTATACCTACTGTAGGAATGAAGCTGCAAAGTTTAGGATTATTAGCCCTGAAGTTTACCTCTGAGCCACAGGAGGACTTTTAAACGTGGCATGTTGGAAACCACAGCTAATATGTGTTCCAAGTTTTTCATCAGTAAATATGAAACTGTGAAAAAAAAAAAAATCGCATCTTCTTGTAAATACGAAGTAGAACTGAATATCTTCTTGTAAAACCGTCATTTTTAAACATAGCATTTTACACTTCAGCTCATATGTAATCCAAGTTTTTCATTAGTTGTTATGAAACTGTTAAAAATCACCTCTTCTTTTCGTAGTGTTATTTAATTAAAACATGGCACTTTTAACACCAGAACAATTTTTTTTAAAAACATAAATGTCTTCGTTCTCTTTAATTCAATATGTTGTAGGATTTGACCTACAAATACTTCAAGCTATTGGGTTGAGATTCAACTACATATTAATTTTCAGACGGGATAACTGATAAAACTTTTCTTGGCTCCAAGTGAATCTATACATTCGTATGCGAAGGAACACTTGTGGAATCAACAATATTTTCATATAGATAATTATAATTTTATTTTTCTCTATTGTAGAAGTAATTCAGTTCTCATCACAATGAAGACATTAGGTGCTTATTTGTTTGTAATCGAGCATAAAGCTACACAATGGGCTATCTGTACTCTGCCCCCCACGGGTAACGAAACCCGGTTTCTAGCGTCGTAAGTCCGCAGACATACCGCTGTGCCACTGGGGGGCAACATTAGGTGCTTGTAATCATCACAATAGGCAAGCACATTGTAAGAGTGGAAGATCAAGATATATCAGAAACCCAGGAGACAGATCCTCGAGTTATTACTGTTTTTTTAGGATATGAATGTTTTGTGTAACTCCAGTTCCTTTTTACCTATTTAAAATTGGTGTATTTACGTTTATATAATTATCTATATGAGTGCTCAGTGGCTTTAGTTGCTAAGAACCTAAAAAAAAATACCCTTTATGACTCAATCTCTAGTCCTCCAGTAGCTCAGCGGTAAGTATCGGGTTTACGACGCTAAAATCGGGTTTCAATCCTCCTGCTGGGCATAGCACAGATAGCCCATTGTGTAGCTTTGGGTTTAACA